CTGGCCAACCGTCCCCCTCCCGCCTTCCCAGCCTCCTCAGACCAACCTGCCATGGCCCAGCTGCTCACCCACTCCTCCCCAGCCCCGCGCCTCAGGGCTTGAGGGGACATTCCCCGAGAACCGGCTGTGTAGGTTTGGGGAATACTATATATATACACACACACACGTATATGCATACATATATATTCATTATTTCTATATATATATATTTTGAAGCTTTCATACATTAAAATATATATTTCAAAGACTGTGCCCCTAAAAATCTGGCAACAGCACCTCTCTAACAGTCCTCTCTGTTTCAACTCCTAGAGTCTCTGGATAAATCAAATATAAAACGAATACAAAATCTTGGCAAGTATCTACCAAAAAAAGCTATTTAGCTTTCTTGTTACCTAAAAAGTACCTGAGAAGACCCTTATAACCTGCTCCAAGAAAGAAACCCTGAGAGACCCTTCTAACTTTCTCCAAGAAAGAAACTCCACAAGTTAGTACACATTAGCTAATTTCAGAGAAAACAATACCTGGAAAAGGAAAGTTCTCAAGAGCATGAGCCTTGGAGTTTGAATCCTGAATTAGAATGCCTGCTCAGCCGTCTACTGTTGGAGAACCTGGAGCAAGATTCTTGATGTCTTTGAAGCTCAACTTCCTCATCAGTAAATTGGAATGAGAATGCTTTATCTCACACGGTTAATGTAAGGATTAAATAATGTATGTAAAACATATCACAATGCTTGGCACATAGCAAGTCCTTGATAAGTGGCTTGAATTCAGATGTTAAAATTATTTTTAAGTACTTTGCCTAAAACTTTTCTTTCACATGTATTCTTTTATTTAATCCACTTACAAGAAGAAAAAGAAATCCTGTGTTGTAGGTATCATCCCCATTTTACTCACAGGGAAACTGAAGAACTGACAGGTTAAATAGACAACACGTTTTTTAGCCAGCTGATGAGTGGCCAACCTGGGAGACAAAATTGAGTTTCCTCACTGCAAGTCCGATCAATATGCATTTTTGTTTGTTTGTTTGTTTAGATGGAGTCTCACTCTGTTGCCCAGGCTGGAGTCAAGTGGCGCAATCTCAGCCCACTGCAACCTCCACCTCCTGGGTTCAAGTGATTCTCCCGCCTCAGCCTCCCAAGTAGCGGGGACTCCAGGCGTGCGCCACCACGCCCGGCTAATTTTTGTATTTTTAGTAGAGGCGGCGTTTCACCATGTTGGCCAGGATGGTCCTCATGATCTGCTGGCCTCAGCCTCCCAAAATGTTGGGATTACAGGCGTGAGCCACTGTGCCCCGCCGATATGCTTTTGTTAACGGTGGAGGGTGTTCATGTTCTTGGTGTCTTGAACAAAGAATTGGACAAAATGCACAAACAAGGAAGGAATGAAGGAATTTATTGAAAATGAAAGTACACTCCATAATGCCACAATGTGGGAGTGGGCCCGAGCACTGGGGCTCAAAGGCCCCGTTACAGAATTTTTGGGAGTTTAAATACCCTCTACTTCGGGTATGCCCTATGTAAATGAAGAGGATGAAGGAAAGTTACAAAGTCATTTCCTTGGGGTATGCCCAATGGAGAGGATATTTCTTTTACAGCTGAAGTGTGAATTTCAGCAATTTTAACTTTAATGTAAAACCTGGTAAGTTATAAGGTTTGACTATTTCCAGCATAGCTAGAGGTGTGGCCAACTCCACATGTCCCAGGCCTTACCAAGCTAGAAAGCAGGCAAGTTAAACAGTTTTCAAAAGCCAAGGAAGCACTTTATGACCTTAAAGCATTTAGCAAACCTAATATTTGAACATAATTTTAACCACGTTTACATTTTGAAGACATTTGTATTTTATCAGTAATCTTTAAGCCCATCTTTATTTCCCAAAGATTACCCAAGTCACATGAACTAAAGGCATTGTTTTTCACTTTGCTGACAAAATATTTTATTTAAGCTCTTATTATTAAACCAATTAATTTAAAACCTAACACATGAGGCCAGGTATGGTGGTTTACGCCTGTAATCCCAGCACTGTGGGAGGCCAAGATGGGTGGATCATCTGAAGTCAGGAGTTCAAGACCAGCCTGGCCAACATGGTGAAACCCAATCTCTACTAAAAATACAAAAAAAAAAAAAAAAAATTACCTGGGCATTGTGGTGCATCCCTATAATCCCAGCTATTTGGGAAGCTGAGCCAGGAGATTTGCTTGAACCCAGGAGGCAGAGGTTGCAGTGAGCTGAGATTGCACCATTGCACTCCAGTCTTATGACAAAGCGAGATTTTGTTGGAAAAAATAAAAATAAGTAAATAAAAGTGGCCAGGTGCAGTGGCTTACACCTGTAATCCCCACATTTTTGGAGGCCAAGGCGAGCAGATCACCTGAGGTTGGGGCTTGAGACCAGCCTGACCAACATGGAGAAACGCCGTCTCTACTAAAAAATAAAAATGAGTTGGGTATGGTGGCGTGCACCTATAGTCCCAGCTACTCGGGAGGCTGAGGCTGGAGAATCCTTTGAACACGGGAGGCGGAGGTTGCAGTGAGTCAAGATGACGCCAGTGCACTCCAGCCTGGCGACAGAGTGAGACTCCCTTTATTAAAAAATAAATAAAAATTTAAAAATGGGCTTTGCTGTTTCTGTCACGGGCACAAGCGGTGGCCTGATTGTCAGTCTTCTCCCGGCATTTTTAAGGCCAGGAGCCAAGTGCTGCATCTGGGCAAATAACTTACAGAACGGTTTCGCTTTTAAAATTATTGTTGTTGGCCAGGTAGGGTGGCTCACTCCTGTAATCCCAGCACTGTGGGAGGCCAAGGTGCATGGATCACTTGAGGTCAGGAGTTCCCGACCAGCCTGGCTAACATGATGAAACCTTGTCTCTACTAAAAATACAACCATTAGCCAAGCATGGTGGCAGGCGCCTGTAATCCCAGCTACTTGGGAGGCTAAGGCAAGAGAATAACTTGAACCTGGGAGGTGGAGGTTACAGTGAGCCAAGATCGTGCCATTGCACTCCAGCTTGGGCGACAAAAGGGAAACTCTGTCTCAAAAAATAAATAAATAAATAAAATCGGCTGGGCGCAGTGGCTCATGCCTGTAATCCCAGCACTTTGGGAGGCCAAGGTGGGTGGATCACCTGAGGTCAGGAGTTCAAAACCAGCCTGGCCAACATGGTGAAACTCTATCTCTACTAAAAATACAAAATTCCCTGGGCTTGGTGGCAGATGCCTGTAATCCTAGCTACTCAGGAGGCTGAGGCAGGAGAATCTCTTAAACGTGGGAGGCAGAGGTTGCAGTGAGCCGAGATTGCGCCATTGCACTCCAGCCTAGGCAAAAGATCAAGACTCTGTCTCAAACAAAAATAAAAAATAAATAACAATAAATTTTAAAAATGAAATTATTGTTGTTATTATTTGGAGCAGAGGACAGTTGATCTAGTGCACCCTGTCCTGTGTCTTTTGATACTCTATGTTTAAGGAAAAAAACCAATTATGTGTTTTATTTTATGCATCAGTTTTGGAGGGCTTCCGGCTATCCCCTTTTCCTCATATTCTACTGAGATTATACAAAGCAGCATGTTGCCAGGTGTGGCGGCTCATGCCTGTAATCCCAGCCCTTAGGGCGACAGAGACAGGAGGATAGCTCGAGCCCAGGAGTACAAGACCTGCCTGGGCAATATAGCGAGACCCCATTCTCCACAAAAAGGAAAAAATAAAAATAAAAAAAACAAAGCAGCATGTTTTCCACAGAGTAGAAACCAATGGCAAGATACTATGTAGGTTTGGGCTGGGTGCAGTGGTTCAAGCTTGTAATTAATCTCATTGGCAGGCTAAAGTGGGAGGAGTGCTTGAGTCCAGGAGTTTGATGCCAGCCTGGGCAACGTAGTGAGACCCCCTCCCACATCTTTCTTTATTTTTATTTATTTATTTATTTATTTATTTTTGAGAGGGAGTCTCGCTGTGTCACCAGACTGGAGTGCAGTGGCGCGATCTCGGCTCACTGAAGCCTCCGCCTCCTGGGTTCAAACAATTCTCCTGCCTCAGCCTCCAGAATAGCTGGGATTACAGGTTTGCAACCATGCCCCCATGCCCAGCTAATTTTGTTTTGTTTTGTTTTTTGACAGAGTTTCGCTTTTGTTGCCCATGCTAGAGAGCAATGGTGCGATCTCGGCTCACTGCAACCTCTGCCTCTTGGGTTGAAGCGATTCTCCTGCCTCAGCCTCTCGAGTAGCTGGGATTACAGGCATCTGCCACCACGCCCAGCTAATTTTGTATTTTTGGTAGAGACAGGGTTTCTCCATGCTGGTCAGGCTGGTCTCCAACTCATGACCTCAGGTGATCCGCCCACCTGGCCCTCCCAAAGTGATGGGATTACAGGCCTGAGCCACCGAGCCCTGCCAGCCCACATCTTAAACAAAAATTAAGAAAAAAATAGTGTGGATGTTTAATCTACAAGTTGCTCTATTTGCTACCTGTGTGATTTGAGGCAAGTCATTTGACCTCAGTAGGCTTCCCCTCATCTGAAAAGTGGAGGATAATTATCTTCCCTACAAGACTTTTTTTTTTTTTTTTTTTTTTTTTGAGATGGAGTTTTGCTAGGTCTCCCAGGGGGGAGTGCAATGGCACCATCTCGGCTCACTGTAACCTCTGCCTCCTGCGTTCAAGCAATTCTCCTGCCTCAGCCTCCCAAGTAGCTGGGATTATAGGCACCCGCCACCATGCCAGGGTAGTGTTTTGTTTTTTTTTTTT